TCATGTAAGGTGTACAATTTATGAGTTTTGACATATGTATACCCTTATAAAGCCATCGCCACAACCAAGATGATGACCTCATGCACATCTAATACTTGACCCTTTAGAAAGCTCTTCCATGTTTGCTATTCGCATTCTGCTTAGCAGACAAGGCATGAATATTAGCTTCATGCGACTGCATTATGACTATAAATAAGAGTGACCTTGAGTCATCGAGGAAGTTCAAATTATGATAGAGGTACTCTGTCTCAGAAGACGGGAAAATATGTCACGCATGTTAAAAAAAAAACAACAACCAAACAAGGAGTTCAGATAACAAGAAAAGTTTGGGGACTTAGAGCACAACCACCCATGAGCATTGCAAAGAACCCTGGGGTTTGGGGAGCTCCTGCTTCCTTGGACCCACTCACCTCCCAGCCCTATTCTGTCTCTTTAGTTAGAGACATCAATTCTACCCCAAAACCCAAGGATCTTATGTCTTTGGACAGAATATTTTTTAAGTGATATTGCTATAACAAGAAAAAATTAATCTAGAATTTAAACCCCTACGTAAAACAGAGACTCTCCCATGCACCATCCATCACATACCCAATTTAAGATGTTTAAATTCCACCTGCTGTGAGGATGCACAAAGCTGATAGAAAATGTGGTAATTTCGTTCATTTTCTGACTGTAAAAGAAAGAAAAGTCCCAAAATTACACCAATCTTTTATAAGTGAAAATGTGAAGTTTTTAACTGGAAGGTCTAAGATGGCTAACCTGGATCGGCAATTCTGCTCTCAGGGGCCCTGACACCTACATGTTGTTTCACTGTGGTCAATAAGGCTATGACCCAGCCTGTTCCCCTCTGTTGGCTCACAGGTGGGCCCTTCCTCTCACAGAGGGAGAGCTGGTGGCCCAAGAATGGCCTCTAAATAATGACCCCAGGTAGGATGTTATTAAAGAAAAATATTCTATAAAATGGGAATAATGTAATTCATACTTGTTGAAATTTTTAAGAAACTCCTCACAAGGCTTACTGCTACTCTCCTCCTGGGCCAAAGCTA